ACCTGAAAAGTTTCTCTTTTTTAAAAAGAAACATAATTCAGATCTAAAAAAAACCTGAAAAGTTTCTTTTTATTACAGAGAAACATAATTTAAATTTAAAAAAGACCTAAAAAGTTTTTCTTTTTTAAAGAAAAATAGAATTCAGATTTAGAAAAAACCTAAAAGTTTCTCTTTATTAAAGAGAAATATTTCAATTTCAATTATAATTTTCAGATTTTTATCTAATTTGATGAATCTGAGAATTTAATTCGAATCTGACAGATTAGATCAAATTCGAATCTAAATCTGATTCAAATTTGATGGATCATATCAAATTCAAATTTGAATCTGAATCTAATAAATATAATTCAATCTGGTTTGTAGATTCAGATTGAATAAGATTATTTATAAATACTAATAAATAGTGATCAAAAGTTATTAAATACCATTTTTGATATTATATTTTACTAATTAGAATTAAATCAAATTTTAATATATTTTAAATACAATCTCAAATTATAATATATTAAAAATTTTAGATAATTTGAATTACTAGATATTGAGATATTGATATAAACGTTTTAAAAATAATTTTAAATATAAATTTTAGTTAAGTTTTAAATTGAATTTCATAATATCTAATGATTCATTTAAATTAAAATAAAAGTTTAATAAATAATAAATTGATATTATATTTTTAATATATTAAAAATTTGAATTAATTTTAATTACTAATTGTTGATATTTTTGACATATATTTAAGATAAATAATATAAGAGTTTTGCAATAGAAAGGGAAAAACTTTAAAAAAAATTTTTTTTGAGTTAATATTAAATCTGGACTTATTTTACTAAAAAAATCATAATTAGCTTAAAAAATAAAGTTTTAATTTTTTTAGAGTTTCCACCCTTTCTACTGCAAAGCTTCTATATATTAAAAAAGTAAAAAATTTAAAAATTTAAAATATTTATCTTTATATTTAATTATCTTAACATTAGTAATTCAAATTAGCTTAATTTTTAAATATAATTTGAAAAGAATTTAAAATTACTAAAATAATCAACAAATTTTAAGCTAAAATCAAGCTAATAAGATTTATTGACTATTTACCAACTGTATTACAAATTATTTGAAAATCAAACTATTCTAACAGACAAATAATAAATGAATCTATAATAATCAAGTTATCAATATTATTTATTAAAATTATATTTAATTTGAATCATTAGATATTATGAAAATCAATTTAATATTATTTAAAAATTTAACTAACATTTATATTTAAAATTATTTTTAATTTAACATTTATATCAATATCTCAATAACTGGTAATTCAAATTATCTAAAATTTTGATATATTATAATTTGAAATTATATCTAAGATATATCAAAATTTGGTTTGATTTTAATTAGTGAAATTTAAAAAATATAATATCAAAAATAGTGTTTAATGACTTATAAGCACTTTTTATATATAAATATTATTTATATTTTAAAAATTGAGACTATTTGATAAAACATTTAAAGTATAGTTTTGCTCTAAATAAGTCAAGTCTGGTTAAGTAATTGACTTGTCTTAATCAGGTCAGATCAAATGTAAAATTATCTTAAATTAATTATACATTTAATCTAATTTAATCTGACTTGACCTGCATATTAGGTTATATCTAAGATTACTAAAAAAATTAAAGGGTTTTTTTCTTGCTAAAACTGCTAAAATGCTGAAACTTTACTGAAACTATATTAAACTCTTATAATTACTATCATAGTAAATGATGAAACTGAAGAAATTATGACAAACTATATTAAACTTTTATTAAAATTTTGCTAAATTTAATCATAGAATTTTAAAGATATTTAGGCAAGTATCCTTTATATTATATAAGGTTTGTTATATCTGAATTAATTTAACCTATTTAGAAAATAATTTTATTTTTGTTTAATAGTTTAATAGTATTTATTTTAAATAAATATAATTCAATTCAATTATATTAACATAAATTAAATGATTATTAATTTTGTTTAATATTTTTTTTAAAAAAATAGGATTGCTTAAGAGGAAAATAAAAAAAAAATATTGTGTAATAATTGATAATAATCATTCAATTATAATAATACGCTATAATAAAGTAACATTTATCTAATTGTGATGTGAATAATGAAAGAATTATATCATTGTGATTTAATTATTAAATAGAAATATATAGTGTAGAATATTATAAAGATTATTACATAAAAGTTAGGTAATAATTATTAAATAGAATATGAATATTACAAAAATAAAGTAACTATTATATAATTATTATATAATAGCTTTTACTATAGTATAAAGTTATAAATAACCTTCAAAATTTATTATATATTAAGGACTTAGATTACAATTTTAAAAGAATATAATTTAAAGATCTTATTCTTAAAAACTTTCAAAAATATCCTTAATAAAATTATTTTTAAAATCAAAAAAAAATTGTAAATATCATAAAAAAAAGGTATTAATATTTCTAAAATTTAAGTCTTTTTTAATGACAATATTTTGAAAATTTTAAATATTAAGATTGAAATTATCTCAAAAGTTTTATATATAAAGTCTTTTAAAAGCAAAAGTTATTGTCAAAGTTTTCATTTGTATTTCAACTATCTTAAATGTTAGAGAATAAAAGATATTGTAAAGTTTTCTAAAATAAAAATTATGAAGTCACTCTAAAGTTTACAAATTATTCAGTTCTCTTGGTTAATCTGAAAACTTAAGTTTGTGAATAACCATTTGCAAAAAATAAAATAAAACTATCAAATTATATGTTAATGAAATTTTAAAAACTCTCTTATAAATACAAGCTAAGCTAAACCTAACCTTACTCATTTAGATTAGATGATTCGGTTTGCTTAATTGACAAGTTTGGATAACAATAGATATAGTAGGCCACAAAAAAAAATGAGTAGAATTGCTTACTTTTAAAAGCTTATAACTTATTAACTATAAATGCTAAAAATATGATTTTATATTTTTTTTTAAACAGTAAAATTTAAAGTATAATTATTAAGACCAACTTTGCTCAATTTAGTAATTTTCATCAAACTTTTTTACTTAAAAATATTTAAGTATAAAAAATATTTTTTAGTAAGCTATCAACTAAAAATTAGATTATAGATTCAATTCTCTTTAATAAAATAATTCTATAAGTTAAAATTCATCAAAATTAAATCATTTTATATCATAAAATAAAATTTATAAAGCAATCTTGTAGAATAATTTTTCATTATTTTATTGATCTGATTTTGATGAAATTTAGATTATTAGAATCATTGTATTAAAAAGTATTAAAATTTATAATCAGATTTTTAGTAGCTAATTTACTGAAAAATATTTTTTATGAAAGTTTATGTAGATTGCTAAATTACATAAAATTGGTTTTAATAATCACACTTCTAATATTTACTAAATATTATATTATTTAAGTTTTGAGACTTAAAATTAATATAAAATTATATTTCTACCATTTATTATTAATAAGTTATAAGCTTTTAAAAAAAAACTATATATGCATTTTTTTGTTTATGAATTCTATAAAAGAAATTGATTAATATATATGTAATTATGATAAAATAATATTAAGTAATATATGTCATTACTCTAACTCTATAAATATTAATCTAATTATAATAAAAACTTATTTATATACTTTTAAATTCACTAAACAACTTTAATTAAGGTTTATAATTAATATTCATTGAATAATTTGCTTAAATTACTCTTTAAAGTCATTAAACAAATAAGAATATAAAATTTTTTCGTAAAATAATATAATTACAAAAATATTATATAACCATTAATTTAATAATAATAAAATTTTATATACACATATTTTTAAACCTATTAAATAAATTTACTTAAATATCTAAAGTTAATGTCTTTTAACCAAAATACTTAAATATCTTTTTGAAATAATTGAATAAATAAAAGAAATTTGTTAAATAATGTAATTGCAAAAAATGTTATAATTTTAAATTAATTATATAATTAATAAATAAAAATTACTATAATTTTTATATATTTATAAATAGTTAAATTTACCTGCAAACCCTTATAATTTAAGAGATAAGAAATTAATAATATAAATGGTATGCTATTAAAATTGAGATATAAGATATAGTAAATCATATGATTTCTATTTTAATTTTAATAGCATACCACCTATATTATTATTAATTGATTTTAACTATAATAGAAAGTCTATATAAAATTTTAAATAAGTAAATTTTTTTTAATTTAAACTTGGTTTTATTTTACTCTTTTTTTTTAAAAGTATTATTTTAAAAAGATATTTTAAAAAAAAGAAATTTAAATTTTATTATTAACTAAAACAATAAAATTATTCTATATTATTTTAACAAAACAAGAAATACTAACTATTTAATAAGATGCTCATATTAAATTAACAAAATAATTCAACTAATACTTAAAAATATATAAATATGATAATAAAAATTAAAATTTTATTAAAAAATTGTTTTTTATTAATTTTTAAAATCTTAAAATATTTATTAATAAATGAATATTAAGAAATAAACATTTTAAAATTAAAATTACTAAAAAAAAAAATATAATTTATAATTTTATTATATTAATGCTTTGCAATAAAAAAAAAAATCTCTTTTGTTTTTAATAAACTATATATCGCTTGCATTGCTTCTTAAAAATCTTCATTGTATAGTTTATTTTTTTTAGTAAAACAAATTCAGATTTTATATTATGTAATTCAAAAAAAATTTTAGAATTTTCTCTTTATTGCAAAACACCTTGATTAAATTTTTTTTTATTATAAAATACCTTCATATAATTGATTTCATTTTACGTTTGTTTAATAATTCAAATAAATAAACATAAATTGTATTTATCTGCCACAGAAAATGATTATTTAAAAAATAATTAATTACTATGAGAATATATCAAAAGACAAAATCTATATATTAATAAAGAAAGAACTCGAATTTTCTTCGATTATTTATGACGAAAAACAAATTTATTTTTCGATGCGGCGTTTTAATGAAATACCATGGTAATTCTTTTCGTGTCTTTTACATGCAAAAGCTCGAGTGAATCTTCTACCACAGCCCCGTTTAGTGCATTTATATGGTCTTTCTCCTGTGTGAAATCTCAAATGTTGTATACAGTTGCTTCTACGAGAAAATTTTCTTTCACAACCTTTCCAATCACATTTATATGGTTTTTCACCGGTGTGAATTCTCTTGTGGCATTTTAAGGTATATAAGTGTGAAAAACATTTTCCACAATTCGCCCAATCACATTTGTATGGTCTCTCTCCAGTATGAGTCCTTCTGTGGGCGTTTAAAGCAGATTTACGGGAAAATCTCTTTCCGCAATTTAACCAATTACAAATGTAGGGTCTTTCTCCAGTATGAATTCTGATATGTTCTTTTAAATTTCGTTGTTGAGAAAAGAACTTTCCACAAACTTTCCAAGTACATTGGAAAGGTTTCTCTCCAGTATGGATCCTCTCGTGACATTTCAAGTTATATAACTTTGAGAATCTGATGTGACAACTTGACCATTCACACTCAAATGGTTTTTCACCAGTATGGATCCTCAAGTGCATTTGTAAAGTATATTTCTTCGCAAATCTACTCTCACAACCTGGCCAATTACATCTGAATGATCTTTGAACGGGATTGGATTTTCTCACGCTATGAATCCTCATATGATTTAACAAGCCCCTCATATTTAAAAATCTTTTTCCGCATCCTATTACACTACATGTGACATTATGTACCTTTTTATGCACTTGAAGACCTCGATGTGAGGAAAACATTTTCTGGCAACTTGACATATTGCAAATAAATTTATCTTTTCGTAATTTCTTCGTATTTGAATCGTTTGTTTTTGTATCATCAATATTCTTCGAGGGATCACTGTTGATTTTAACTTCATCCATTTCTGTCTTGTGATCCTCAATTAAGTCGCGTTCTATATTAATCATATCTTTGTCATGATTATCAACGTCGACACTACCATAACTACGGTCATCTCGCTCAGTAATGGTATCAACATCGCTAGATCCACTAGATTCATAGCTCTAATAATGAAAGGAGGGGAAAAAAAATGTATTTCTAAACTATGACAAAAAATAATTGAGAATAGAACATCCTTCATTGTAAATTTACCACAAACTTTGAATTGTCATTGCTATAATCAAAACTTGGAAAGGTAGATAAATTAAATCTTGAAATAGAATTCAATGTTGTATTCGAAACATGTCTTTTATTATAAAATGATGGCCTATAAAAGCTGTTAAAAGAACGAGGCATCGATAATTGATTCATGTTGGCTAAACCTTTGACAATTAATTAATTTTTTTTCGTTATTTTGTTTTTTTTTTAATAAAAAAATAAAAAAAAGAAATTCCCGGAGAATAAATTAGATAAAATATTAAGGTATTATTTTAAATAACTTTGGAAATAAACAAGACACGAAAGGGTTTGTTTTGTTTATTTTTAATTAAAAAAATACACGCGATATTTTATTAAATTTGGAATACGTCATCTCGTCATCTACCGTTTTCGGGGCGATGAGTAGAATCACGTGATTTACGACAATCTCCACATTTATGTGAAAAATTATGTCACATGCTAGTTGTCATAACATTAATTTCTTAATGCCCGTAATTCCGGCCAAAAAATCATCATATCCCGTGATTAATACTCCGCTTTAGATCTCCGTTTTAAGACTTTATTATATACAAATAAGTTAGATCTATTACTTGTCAAGTGGTTAATCTAGTGACCTAACGCTCATCCGAGCATTTTTGAAGCCTTTAACATACTAGAAAATGCACAACATTTCTCCTTTTCCTGCAAAAACTTCATAAGATTTGATGTAACATCATTTTCCAGAGAAGAATGTGCAACCCAAATTTCTGAAGGACGGAATTGTTAAAAATGATGGTAATCTTCATTCTCACACTAGCTCAAGATGATACTAACCAATAATTTCTCGAGGATATCTTGCTTTTTGCTCAGAACCTACTTGCAAATGATTCGAAAGCAATTATTTTTTTGGACAAAAGTTTGACTTCATCACTTCTAAGAATGCTTACTGATCCATGGCCGGTCAAAAGACACTGCTGAAGCTTTTCGTCTTTTCCTGATGGGATACTTTCTTTTGATTGTTGACTTTATCATGCCATAAGTATTAACATCAACTACAGAAACATAATCAAATAAAGATGAATGCTGATAGTTAGTTTATCTATAAAGAAAGATCTTTATTAAAAACTTAAATTAATATCTTCAAAACGTTAATTAGGGTGAAGTTAATAAAGCTAATATTATTGTAAGGCAGCTCAGCTTTATATACCTTTTTTACATATTGGAGATTATATAAAAAGTTTTTTATAGAATTCAATTCAAAATTCAAAAATCTACTTTAATCTATAATCTATTCGTTTATATTATTATTCTAATTTCAAACAAATTATTTTTTCTCGAATGATTTTTTATTATTAATAGAACAAATTCAGAATCTATCGCTCAAGATAAGTCTGAAAAAATTATTTTTAATGGGATTGGTTAAAGGAATTTAAAAATTATCACATGCAATGCGTCCAATCGTATCTTTGAAAATTACATTACGAAACTATACAGAAATTCTGTTGAATAAAAATTAATTTCTTCAGGAAATAATTCTTATACAAAAAATAGTTTATTAAGAATGATTTGATTATAATACAATAAAATAAGTTAATGTAAAGTCATTATAATGCAACTTATCCCAATAAACTATTTAACACAGCAGCAATCCTAATCCCACCAACTGCTAATAATTTTTCAACGATTCTAGTTCGTTTAATTCTTTCATAATACTCACCCTCATCTAATTCTATATCGGGTTTATAACCGTTCCAAACTATTTGACAATTTAATTTATTTATTGGAATAACCCAAAATTCGGGACAAGAAACTGAAGGATATTGCTTCCCTAAAGAAGAATATTCTTTTTGTGCTTCTTGCGAGTTCAACCCAAGAAGAATTTGTTTATTTTTGTTACCAAATTTATTAGAATTAAATAATTCCTGCGTTTCTTTTTCAAAAGTATATCCTACATTATTGCAGACAATCCATTCGGATACTTCTTGCTTCCAAACTGATTTCATTAATCTTAAAATATGTCTAACGTATGGATCATAAAAACGACCACCATTAGTAATGTTTTGATGATCGTCTGAGAAAGTTTGATTATATCCAAGTTCCCTTATATGCTTCTACAAAAAAATGATAAAATTTTTTTTTTTTAGTTTATAATGAATGAATATTTGAATATTTTTGAATTAACTTACATTTATTAATCTCGAATCCCAAATAAAGTGTAGGTTGGTTTTATGACCTTCAAATATTGCTATTTAAATTTTAAGCAAATTTAATGAAAAAAATTTTTTTTATTTTTAATTTTTTTTTTTTTAAAAAAAATTATTATTATTCTTATTACCTTTTGCACCATTCCCACCTCTAAGTCTTGCTGTGACTACAAAATTTTTTTGGGAATAAAATAAATTTAAAAAAAAATTTTTTTTTTTATTTCTTCACTTTATTTCTTTTCGTATTTACCATGTAAAGGCTGATGTAAATCTCCAATAAAGTGCACAAGAAATCTTAATGCCTCAGCTCTAGGCCAAAAAGCCAAATCATTGTTTGGATCTAAACGATTAGTATAATTATGTATAGCATTTAGCAAATCAATTCTTCCTGGGATATACATAGCAAAACACTGATTTGGAGGTTTATCATTCCGTGGTGTAAAAAAATGCATTCTCGAAGTAAAGTTATATTCTGGCGTATATTTTACTCTATCGGCCCATGATGCGATGCTAAATTTAAAATGATCAAAGTAATTTAAAAAAAAAAATTCAGTTTCTTTTTTTTTTTTTTTTAAGAATTATAATAAACTCACAAAGATAGATCCCCTTTTGCTTCTTTCGGAAGTAGTAGTTGTACATTTTTTCTTGCTTCAGGCGTGAGAAATCTTTGGGCAATTACGGCAGTAATTTCATGACCAACATATCCGTAAGCCAAAACATGATTAATGAATAGAAGCGAGATGACAAACAAATGTAATAAATACGAATTCATTATTCGAAAGGAAAAAAAAGAAGAAATTAGGTACATATTTGAGGTAATAAGTTTCGTTTTATAGTTTTTAGTTCAGGAGATGAGATAGTTTATCTTAATTTATCTTTTGTATAACCTTCTGATTATTATCTGATGTTGTATCACGGAATTATGCATCTTTCTAATTTAGGTTATTGTGAGAATAGAAAAAAAGCTATATAAACAAAAAATATTCTCGTTTCTATCATAAGGCATAGAATTTTCAAAAAAATAAAAATAAAAATAAACCACTAAATGTTCGAAAATTTTTTTTTTTTCGGAACTTTATAATTCGACAGTTTATTTTTTACATGAAATGTACTACCTCAAATTCGAGGATGATTTTACCCGAAATTTACTTTCTCAAGTTTGCAAGACGGGTTACCAACATTTATTAGTTTCCAAATTTCCCTCAACCATTTAAATGACTTTATAGGATAATTATTAAGATCCAAATCATATCCAATCATATAATCCCCTTTCAAAATAAATTTCACCCTAGGCCTTTCATATTTGCCAATTAACGAGTTATAAACTGTATTGTTCATCGTTTCTTCTTCTGTTAAATTGTAATCTTTAAAATTAAATCTATATAATTTAGAATCAGCAAAAGATGAACTAGTCATAAATGTTTCAATGAAGCATTTTAACATTAAATCATTATATAACAAGGCTGGCATTAGGGTAAATATCATCATATTATGATCATTTAAAGTGGATTCTTCTATTTGAATAAACCTTTCAAAGTATTGCTTTTCGGTTGGATTTAATTGCAGTCGACCGAGCAAATCTACCAATTTAGTACCAAGGAGAAATCCAACAGATGCCAAATCAACACTAAGAAATCCAAAAATTACATAAATAGTTATGACAATAACTATGCAACAAAAATTACCAGGAACTCCTAAACCAGCGGCTCCAATTGATTGAAGTTTCGAAAGACAACTTTTTTTTGGAACATCACCATTATACGATGACATATAACTGGAAGCGTATGTTTTTTTTTTAATACCTTTAACACCAAATCCACATGCATTAATTATTTTGATCAAGATACATGACGGAACTAACAATATAATTAACCAAATTATTACTGTTATGATAACTCCAGCTATCCAGGGGTTTTCCCAAAAATGTCTAACTGAGGTTAGAAAATCGTCATTTGCGAACGCGGTGAATATGACTATAGTGAAAATTTGTTTATCGGTTAGCATGTTGAGGAAATTATATTACTTCACCAGACCGGTAATTTTTGAAGTTTTCGCTTATATTGACAAATGGATTGTTCTTTTTATATGCTCATTCAGAAAAGCATGGTTCACGGCTCAGGTAGATGCTTAGAACTTAACATGTTTCAAATCAAGTAATTATTGCCGGATAGTTTGACAAAATCATAGATTCTGGGGGGGCTTCTCCAATTACCTTTTTTAGTTTTTTGTTTTGCACGTATACGAACCTAATTCTGTTGTAATGAGGCTTGATCTGCAAAACTAAGCCGTAAGCCATCGATCTTATTTTTCTTGAGGATGTTGACCAAATTATCTACACGTGGTGAGGATCATGCTAGGATCTTTAAGACGTATAAAAGAAAATAGAATTGCGACCAACAAACGGTGTAGAATTTTTTTAAATCGAAGAAAAAAAAACTACTAATTCTGTAAATTTATGGAGAGAAGACAAGAAAAAAAATATATATATATTATAATTGAAAATGAACTCGACATAACTTTATTTAATATAAACGGTCCTTTACATCATGTTATAATATGAATAAATCGGCACCAACTATGATCCAAAAATACCTTTAAAAGGTGAAAAAATGGGGGCGCTTAATTCCTTGACTTTATGGAAAAATTCTGACTTTCTATCTTTATTCGTATTTATCTGGTACCAAACTTCTGCCAATAAATTTATCATACCATTTGATGGTCGATAATCATTAAGATCCAGCTCATATCCAAATACTTCACCCTTTATCCAAATTTTTTCCACTCTAGATTCTTCAAAATTGCTAATTAGCAAATCATTAAACTTTTCTTTTTCTGATTTCAACTTTAATAAATCATCTTTGAAATAAAATTTAAATAATTTAGAATTTAAGAAAGGTGAACTAGATATAAATGTTTCAATGAAACATTTTAACATCAATTCATTATATAATAAGGCTGGCATAAGGGCAATTATCATATTATGATCATTTGATATAGCTATTTCCTCAATCTGAATAAAATTTTCAAAAATTTGTTGTTCATATTCATTTAAATCCATTTCATTAAAATATTTTGCCAACATATTGCCGCCAGCTGCTCCAATAAGAATTCCAACAGCTGCACCAACACTACTGCTTATAAAAGTACCAGCAGTTCCTAAACCAACAGCTCCGACTGATTGAAGAAATGAGAGGATGCTTCCGCTTCCAACCGAACCTCCATACAATGACATTAACCAGGAAGCAAATGAGTTTGCTGCGATACCTCCCGTACCGAACCCCAATACTTTAATTATTAATGTTAAAATTATAGGCGCAACTATTAGACCAGTTATTCCTAATGCTGCTGCTTGCTGCTGTTCCAGTTATCCATGGATTCTTCCAACAATCTCTAAATGTAGTAATAAAGTCATTATTTGCAAATACGGAGAATAATATAATTGTAAATAATTTTTTATCAGACACAATCAATGCCATATTTGTTTAAGAGAAATAAGTTACTGAATATATTGAGAAAAAAGTTAGAATATCCACCGTTTTTTTTAAGTGAAATAATTTTTTTAGCATTTTTCACGTGATTGTAATATGGTTGGTTAATCTTTTTTTTAATTTCTTTTTTTATATTTGTATTTTTATTTAGATCTTATTTATTATAATTTTCTTATAAGAAATTAATTTTTTTTTATATATATGGGAGCTTTGCATTAGAAATGTACGAAACTCTAAAAAAATTAAAATTTTACTTTATAAGCTAAATATGATTTTTTTTTTAGTAAAATAAGTTGAAATTTAATATTAATTCAAAAAAAAAATTTTTTTTAGAGTTTTGTACAAAGCTTTCATATAGTATATTAATTTTCAAAAAAATTTATAATAATTATTATTTTTACAATTTTTAAGAATTTTTTTATAAAATACTTATTCAAATAATATGTATTTTTTAAATTAATTATTATTATTATACAAAAATAATTTAATAATATGGGAGGTGGTCAGTTAAAAACCAAGTAGTCCAATAATACAAATTTTGATCAAAATTTAGATTTCCCCTTTTTCTACTGACCACCTCCCATATATTTAATTTTACAAAATTATCAGAAATTGATTATTATAATTATTATATGATTAATTAAACAATTTTAAAAATTATTTTATTCTTTTTTTAGATATGAATACAATTATTAAATTTACAAATAATACTTGTCTCTTTTTTATTTTAGCCTAAAAATATCTAAAAAAAAAAAAAAAAAAAAAAAAGAATTAATAAACTAATAATAAAAATAAATAATTGGGTAGTATTCTATTAAAATTGAGGTACGGATCATATGATTTACTATGTCTCGTAACCCACTTTTAATAAATCAGCTCCCATTTATTTTTATCTTGTTAATATTAAGAATCTAAAAAGGTTATTAAATTTAATATTCTTTAATTATATAAAATAATATTAATTATTATAAAAAACTATTTCTTTATATAGAATAAATATTTAAATAAACTAATAATATTTATTATCTAATCATAAAAAATGTTTGTTATAAAATATTATTTATAAAATTAAATAAGCCAGTTAAATAATTTTTTTTTATTAATTACTATTCTAATATTATTTGTAAATATATATACAGTCATGTTCAAAAGTATTATTATCTTATAATTAAAAAGGTATAGTATTATTAAATTATTTATTAAACTGATTTAGAACTCCGAATCAGGTCAGGTCAACCTGTGACTCAATTCAACCTAACCTGAAAAATTCAGGTCAGGTAGACAAATTTTCAGGTCAATATCAGGTTAACTTAAGGTTGCTGGACGAAATCAAGAGTTTAGACAGTTGTCTAAATGATAAAAGTAAAACTTGGTTAAATTATATTAAAACCTTATTAAAAAATCTGCGAAATTTAGAAAAAGGTAAAACTATA